AGCTTCTGAAAAGCAATGTTTTGGGGACATGGCTACCTGAATGCCTACCCCGAGAATTCTTTATTCTTATTTCAGCTGCACAGGGATTGAATATGATGGCTCAGTGCTGCCGGAGACACAGTCTGCATATGCACAGGGGATTACTTCAGGGATGAGTTTATCCCTGAAAACAATGTCTTCCATCTGAGCTTCTGATCCCATGAGGCTGCTGAGTTTACCCACATTGCAGAAATACAGCTAAGGAAAATAAACACTGGGATCACTCCTCACTGCAAGGCAGGAGGCTGCTCAGCAGATAAGTCCCTGACTCATGCCCTTTACCAAACACCACCCTGGCTGGCCACAGCTTCACTGCATTCTGCTGTGAACTCAGGATCCTTCTGCTTGGAGCTAGAGATGTGCACTTGGCAGCAGGTTCTTGAACAGGACTTAGAACAGCATGCACATTCTTGCTCCCTCTGTTGACTCCACAGGCCCACCTGAGAACACCCTGTGTGAGAGAGTGTTTGTGTGTGTAAAAGAGAGTGAGCAAGAGAAAGCACATGGCTGGAACACAAAGAGACAGTGGAGAGCGCATAGCCTCCAGACTGCATGTAGCAATCCTCCAGACCATGCACCTTTGGCCCCTGATACCCTAGTGAAGCCACCGAGAGTAGGACCTGACTTTATTTGATGCTAGGTATCAAAATAAGGACTCCGGTAGATCTTGCTTATTTTGCTCTAATAAGGCTATCAGTTTTTGATCCGTTGGATGCAAATTGCATGCCACAGATGACGAAGCTGCATGTACCATAGTCTGGGCATTCTGCCTAAGATGGCCAGGAGCAAAAGGAGGACCAAGATGGTGGTGGTGGTGGGTTTGGCTCAGGGACTACAGGAAGGGACACTGTGTTGGAAGAGCTCCACCGCACCCACAGTCCAGCCACCTTAGCCCAAATGGTAAATGATGTGGAGCTGGTTACAGTGTGCAGAACTCTCCTGCACATTGCTCACTAAGGATGGTGCTGCAAGGTCCAGTCGGAGTCAGCCAGAATGCAAAGCACCAGGGCAAGTGACTGCAGCATTTGTAGCTGCAGCAACATGCTGGGTGAGATGCGAGTGAGTAGCTTCCCATGCTGGCTGTCTTTGGCTGTGCTCTTTGATGGGACTCACAGCCCTGAAGCATGAAAGCATTTGAGAACAATTTAACACCTTTCAAGGTAACCCGGATCAAGAAAGAAGGTGCATGCGTGTGTTCCCACTTGCTTTTTATTTCCATATTACCTCTGCTTCAAGGTTTGTTTATTCATTGAAGCAACTTTTCTCTGCTCAGTGGAGACTCACGCTGTCAAAAACAATGCCAGAAAGCCATTGAATACTGCAAGTATTTTAACCCAGTTTATTTAACAACAGGGGTGTGGAATGGTATAGTATAGCCCGATCTCGTCAGATTTCAGAAGCTAAGCAGGGTCGGTACTTGGATGGGAGACCACCAAGGATGACTTTGGAAAGGCAGACAATGGCAAACCATCTCTGCTTAAATCACTTGCCTTGAAAACCCTGTGGGGGTCACCATAAGTCGGCTGCAACTTGAAGGCACTTTACATTAACATTACACTTAACATTAAATCTGTCTGCCATAAACAGATGAAATTATTAAATGCAAGGCAGTTTTAAATGTGTGTCATTCTAATGAACAAGCAAATGTATACACAGAGAACATGTGGGACATCTTTAAACCACCCCCTCCTTTCATGGAAAGAAGGCAACGTGATCTGAAATGGAGTCTCCCGTTCCCCTCCCCCCCTCTCTGCCCCCCCCTTACTATTGCTGTCTTGGGGCTGGGAGTTTTCTTTTGCTTGTGTGAAAGTGTCATCTCTGTATTAAGAATTGCTGTAATAAATGGGATCTGCAGATCTCAGCCCCGCTGCAGCAGTAAAGGGAATACTTTAACTCCCTCCACTGATTCTACCCAGAGAGAGTTTCTGTTCCAAACCCTGCAGTCTCCCCTGTCCCCCATGAATCACTTTGACTCCGGCCCCAAGCAGGGGCTATCCCTGTCATCATATAAATCTGGAAGATTTCCTTGCAAGAGTGATGGCTGGCGCGATAATCCCAACCCCCATTCCCAGAGGTACTGTTCCAGGCTTCCTTGGTTTGGAGGCTATGCCAGCTGAAGAGGTGTGAAACTGGTTCAAAGTTGCAGTGTGAACATTTCTTGGAATCCTAGCGCTCTGGGTTGCATGGAAACAGTAGTTGGGTCATGCTGTCTGATGAGCCTAATGTCTTTGTGACTGTTACTTTTGCAGGTGGGCAGGAGAAGGGAGTTCACCATGGCCTTGGCAGACAATGCAAGTTGTGCCAAACCCTGCGACGACATGGTTTTCCCAGAGATCGTAGAGCTGAATGTGGGAGGACAGGTCTACATCACCCGCCACAACACCCTGACCAGTATCCCAGGATCATTGCTCTGGGAAATGTTCACACAGAAGAATATTCGTTCCTTAGCCCGGGACAACAAAGGCAGGTTCTTTGTGGATCGTGATGGCTTCCTCTTCCGCTACATCTTGGACTATATGAGGGACCAGCAACTTGTGCTTCCCGAGCACTTTCCAGAGCGAAGCCGTTTGCAGCGAGAAGCCGAGTACTTCAAGTTGCCGGAGCTGGTCAAGACCCTTGCCCCAAAGCTTAGCAAGCAGAACTCCATTGGGGATGAGCCCTGTCAAAGTGACCCAGAGGAGCTGTCCCCTAGTATGGACACTGCCCGCAACCTGGCTGCTGCCAGTGCCATCCTGTCAGGTGGCCCTGGAGGCTCCCTCACAGCCACTGCTGGGGGCGGCACCGGGCAAGATATCCGGAGATCAGGCTTCATCACCATTGGCTACCGGGGCTCTTACACTCTTGGCAGAGACAGCCAAACCGATGCCAAATTCCGCAGGGTGGCCAGGATCATGGTGTGTGGTAAGACCTCCCTGGCCAAGGAAGTCTTTGGGGAGACACTGAACGAGAGCAGGGACCCTGACCGGCCGCCAGAGCGCTACACCTCCAGGTACTACCTCAAATTCACCTTCCTGGAGCAAGCCTTTGACAAACTGGCTGACTCTGGCTTCCACATGGTGGCCTGCAATTCCACGGGGACCTGCGCCTTTGCCCACGAACAGACGGATGACAAGATCTGGACCTCTTACACCGAATATGTTTTCTACCGTGAGTGATGCTTAAACCAAAACCAAACCAAATTGCACCAAAAGCCAACTCTCCCTCGGTCCTTCCCATGCCGCCATTTGTTTAGAACGTAGATAACCATCAGAACCCTTGAACCTTGAATCTTCTCTCCTTCCTCACTTTCCAAACTGAACCCTCTTTGGCTCCTCCCCGAACTGGTTCCTGAGTAATGCCGAACCTTCTTTCCAGCAATAGCTGACAGTAGCTAGCAACATCCCCTGGATCATGGACTTGGACACTTGGGGGAATGTCTTTGTATTTGGGGTGGGGTTGGGTAATCTGCCAGTATTAATCAGCAGTGCAGCATTACGTGGGGTGCTGCTGGAATGAGATGTCTTTCCATGCTATGGGCATGCTCCTTGCTCTTTGCTCTGCCTGTGCTGGAGGAATATGCTTATACTTGCAATAAGGGAATGTGGCAGGGATCCTGGTCTGAAGGATCCTGGTCAGGCGGAGGGATGAAAAGGGCAAAGGAACCCTCCCTGCCACAGACATATTAACAATAGCCTCTGTAAGCAGCTTAGCATTTAGACTGCCAGTGCTTTGAAAGGTGAGTGAGCAAGTGTGTGTCCCATGTCACTGCATCCCCCACTAGGAACGGCGGAATTGAAAACACTGCTGTGGCTCAGAGGGCTGAACTGGGTGAATGGCCCTGAGGGGGCCTGGGAACCTGGGTCTCCGTCAAATCTGGAGGAGTGTTTTGGATCTGAGATGTAGCCCATCGCCCTTCTCTCACCTGTCCCTTCTCCCCCTCACTTCCCCTCCATTGGTCACCATTCTTCCTGTTGCAGCAAACACACATCTGAATCCTGGCTTGGGAAAAGCGGCTGGAGGAGTGGTGTGTTGCCCTTCCCTTCCGCTTCTCCCCTCCCAATTGTTGTCTAGAGGTGGTTGAGAAGAGATCCGGGCATCTCAGCTTCTGCCAAATCTACTGTGGCTCTGATTCACTGTTGTTCTTCTCAGACAGGTGTAGTAAGATGGGGTTTGTGGGTGGGCACCGATGTGTATTTGTAATTCCAAACACACACAGAGTGTATATGTACCGGGGGTGGGCTAGGGCAGGCGGGGGACCAGAGGTCTCCAGGAGAGCCTCACACAGAAGATGTAGTGGTAGTTCCTTAGGAAAGTTCCCCGTCCAGTTTGTCATTGTTTTTCCTTCACTTAGAGTAGGAAGAGAAGGCCATAGAGAGATGCAGAACATCCTGGCTTGTCCAAGGATTTTTGCAGCTAGCGGTGGCCTGATGTGTCCAGAGCAATGGGTTCTTTTATTCACAGATGCAAAAGCAAAAAAAGTAACGCACGGGAACAAGTTATCTGACTTGGATGGTAACATATGCAGAGCCTCTTTTCAAGCATATAGCACAGCACTGAGTGTTTGTGGGCCTGGGGGGGGGGCTACCTGGTTGGCTGGCGGGCGCTTTAGCAGGCCTGGGACTATGTGTAATAAAGGAACAAATGAGATGTTTCTTTGTCTCCTTGTTCAGGGATGGGCCCATTTTGTGGTGGAGCACAGTCATTCTCATGAGAAGAGTCTGATACCAAAGGGAATTTGTACACATGGGGTGCCCCACTGGCATTCCTCTTTTGAGCCATGCTTAAGACCTCAAGGAGGGCAGCTCTCTCAGACTCTAAGGAGGGCTGGAAGACTTTGTGGAAGGAAGATGTAACAGTATTGTGGTTTTAACAGTGTAGTCTCTGACACCCCTCGGTTGAGCTGCTGCTGGTGTTACGGAATGTTCACTAACATCCTGGCTGGTCAGGAACCAGAGCTCTTAGCAGCAACAGTTCAGCTTCACTGAGGATAAAATGATCTATGGAAAAGCTGACTGGCAGATAATCCCAGAACCTCAGGGAAGCAGTTTTAAGAACAGATAATCCCAGAACCTCAGGGAAGCAGGGTGATATGGAGAAGGAAAAGGATAGATCAGGAAAGGAATAAACCCACCCATGCCAAATCACCCATTCTTAAAACTGCTTTTCCTTTCTAAAAAAAAGGCAATAATGATTCTGTTACCTATACATATGTCTAATGTATATAGTTAGGCTTTAGGGGCAGAGCTCCCAGAAAGGGGTTATGAGAGAAAGTCATCAGTGGAAGGAAATGGCAGGCAGAAGAGATGGATGCCTGCGGGGGAAAGTCTGGACTGCATGGGGGTACGGGGGTATGGGGTTGCCTGCTGCAGACCCTAGGAGGACTTCTGCCCCTTTAAGAGTTGCCTAGAGGAGAGGATCCTGCTGCAGTGTCTCCTGTCATCACTACAGAGCCAAGGGTCAATGGGATGGGACCATGCTGTATGTATTGATTTCAATTAACTAGCCAATGTTTAGGCTGCAGGCTAGTCGTTCATACTTTAATCTCAAAGAGGCTAAATTTGAATACATTTTGTAGCTCTTCGCAGTTTTAAAAAATCGGCTTTCAGAAAAAAGTTACACTCCTTGCATTTTGTTTTGATATCTCATTTTGTTAAATCCCCCCCTTTTACATGCATATGTGTCTGGTAGGAAAGTGCGAAGAGACAGATTAGAATGTTCCCAATATAGTTAGAAACAAAGGACTGCGTAGTCTGGAAGGCATGACTTTTGACCCTCTGCAGAACAGGGTCCTGAAATGAATACTCAGGACCCTGTAACCTGGGGTAGAAGAAGCAGCTTCTGAAACCCAACTTGAGAGCTTGCATGTGATTCGCCGGTGGTTCTAGCAGGCGAAGTGACCTAGCTGGAGAGCTGAGCTTTGTGCCTGTTTGTAAATCCATCCCAACATCCTCCTTCCCTTCCTTACGAGCAACGTCCCTGCATATCACTTGTCTGGAGTAGATGTTTGCCAAGTGATGGCCAGCTTCCTTTAGCAGAAAAGCTCAGTGCAAATGCATCCAGAATCCCACTTGGAGTGCCGCAGGCTCCCCTTTCAGACACGCAGCATCTCCGCTTGGGCACAGTCCCACATTCCTGACAGGGAGAGCACGCTTCGTTAGGCCGCTGAAGCTCTGCCTCGTAAGCGAGGCTTTGTGGCTAGCCAGATGCCCCCTAATCTGCTGCCGCTGCATCCGTACAGTGGATTAGAGTCCGGCTCAGTGAAGCATCCCTCTTCTGCGCACTTTATTATCCATCTCTACCTCTCATCCCTTTGGTCTGCAGTTAATAGATTGCATTAATCAACTCAAGGGTTTAAAGCCCATTAGTGCGCCACGGAGAGCCTTTCCTGCCACCCCATCCAGGCTGGGAGAGGCTTCCCCATCAGGAGGAAGGGAGGTGCCTGTTCCCCTTCGCCTAAACTAGTGGCTGCCAAAATAGAATGCCTGCCCCTCATTTTTGACATGGGGGTGAACGTTTCTGATTTGAATCCTAGGACGACAGCTCTTGATTCTCAGGCTCTTCAAAGAAGTGTCCCAAGCGTTGAGGTCCTGAATAGACTTCCTTTCGGACACTGCATAAGAGCTATCAGTTGGAAAGGTGGGGGGAGTGCAATAAGCAAGCTCAGTAAACAGGAAATTCTTTTGCAACGCTGCACAAGACAGCCTCATGTTTTGAGCTGGGGAAGTGGGCGTGCAGCCAGCATAGTGCAACAAGAGCTGTAGGTAAGGTATTCCAGCATCCAGGACAGCTGCTGCTCCTTGGGTTTCATACAGGTCGGGTTTAAATGAGGAACTTGCATCAGAGTTCGACACACACACACACAGCATCTTGTTTGCAGTGGCTGCCCTTGCAGGTACCCCCAGAGGCATGCTCATCACAAACTGGCCCCTGGCACTTGTTCACCCAGGGCAGAAGCTGATATTGGCAGACCAGCGCTTCAGCCACACTGAGGAACTTTTGGGTAGCCTACAAATATTCCAGCTTCTGCTTGGTTTTCTACATGAATCATGTAGAAACAAGAATGTTTGCAGAGTACCCTTCCATTGCCACTGCATTACTCCCTCTAGCCCCACATGTGCCTGGGATTCGAGCAGGGCCGGCCCCAGCTTATTTTGCACCCTAGGCGAGGATCCCTACTGCTCCCCTTCTGGCGCCCTCCCCCCCGCTGGATTTGAGGGTGGAAAGGACTGGCTCCTGGCTCCTCCCATGTTAAACCCTGAGCAGTGAACATGTTGGTCTGATTCCTGGATGTTGACACTGCCTGCTATGTTCTTTTGAGCCTGTCACTGCAGGCATAAAAGCTAGAAATCTGCTTGTGGAAAAACTGAAAATGGAGATTGTCTCAAGACACTGAACTTTACCCACAGTGTTTGTTTGTTTTGGAAGGGGTAAACAAAAGGCTGGTACTCATATAAGGTTGCACTGATTTCTACCAATTCCACCCTCTGGACTTAGGAGAAACACCCCCCTCCCCCCAATGTGCTTCAGTACTGGTACCACCACTGCAAAAAAAATGTTTAACCCCCCCCCCAATCCTTTTGTAGAGTGGAGCCGTCAGAGCCACATGGGATGCCAGCAGACTTGCTATAGAGATGTAATGCAGAATGGTGCCTTGCACAGTGGCAGAATTAAAAACGAGGACTCTGGATTGACATTTTTCGCTGGCAATAAGCCACTGTTGCTGCGCTGCCCATAGCCAAGTGGACAGTCTGTCCTGCTCTCCTAATCTTCCATGGAACACAGACAGTAAAACGAAAAAGAGGAAAAAGCTGCAGTCCTCCGACCATTTTTGACAGTGGAACAAAAGTATTCCCCAAGCCCTAATTTGGAAGAATTCCCAGCCTCCTCCAAGCCCTGCTGGTGCAACCAGACCCAGGCCTCTTCCTCCAAATGCCAGAGAACTGGAGGCCGCCCAGGCAATTGCTCCGGCAGAGCTGCTGCTGCTGCTGGGATTTGTTGTTTGACGTCAACAGAGTGCCGGGTCTTTTTAATCAGGTTGTACTTGTTGTGCTAACTTTGTTATTGATGCAAATGCTTCTCCCCCCGCCCCCCTTTCAGTGGCTCTCGTAGAAGCTGGAAAGGGGCCAATTCCAGACGGATTGTAAGGGACACAGAGCCTCAAGAACTAGAAGTCTTTGCCAAGGGAGGAAAATATTCCTCCTCCTTCCCCATTAGGACTTTGCTCCCCGCTTGTTCTCCTAGCAGGACTTTAAGAGCAGCAAGACAAGTACAACCATTCAACAAGTGTAGCTTTCCTTATGATTGTATCTCCCAGCAAAGCTTCACCAGCAGAATTTCTCTCCTTTGTCATGTTCTTTAATTTAGTATTCTGTATTCCAGCTCTTCAGGGGCTGCTTGACTTGACTCTTAGATTAGTTGCAGCCCTGGCTGGAGGGCAACGAGGCTGGGCTCTCCTGGGCCCCTCCAGGCTGCTGCCCCAGCAGGACTGTTGCTCCCCCTTTTGCATGGGGCAGCTGCACAGGGAGCATTTGACTGGCACCCCAGGCCTCCTCTGGGATACTAGGGACCGCCACAGCAGGGGTCTGCCTTAACGTTTTGGCACTAGCCATGACGTTTAGGCAAGAAGCCCTCTTTATATTTTATTTATTTATATATTAAATTTGTTAATCACCCAATCCCATTTCAGACTAGGGTTGCCAAATCAGTCTTCGCCGGGAGCGGGGGGCTCCCAGCCAGCGTTGGGTGAGTGTGCGTGCGCATAGCACGTGCGCCGCATGCGCATCACCCGAAAGTGATGTAGGCACGCTGGGCATGCTGGGGGCGGGGCCACGGCCATACAAGGGAAAACCATAGAGTTTTCCCTTGTATTGGCCATGCCACGCCCCCATTATTCAGCTTAGAGGGAACACTGTTCACAGGCAGGGGCAAGGAGGGCAAAGCAGATATGAGAAGCAACTGGAGCGGGAAGGGTGCCAGCTATGATGGAAATCGTTGCTGTCCTCAACCAAAGACCTGGCGGAACATCTCTGCCTTACAAGCCCAGCGGAATTGCGTAAGGCCCCGCAGGACCCTGATGGTGTTTGGCAGAGAATTCCACCAGGTTGGGGCCAGGACCGAAAAGGCCCTGGCCCTGGTCAAGGACAGCCGGATAGCTTTAGGGCCGGGGACCACCAGCAGGTTGTCATCTGAAGAGAGTAATGCTCTTCCAGGGACATAATGGAGGAGACCGTCCCATAGATACATGGGTGTCTGGCCACTCAAGACCTTGTAGGTCAATACCAAAAGCTTGAACATGACTCGGTATTCCACTAAGAGCCGATGTAGCTGGCGCAGCACTGGATGTATATGTGCCATCCGTGACGTTCCCATCAAAACTTGTGTCGCTGCGTTCTGGATCAGTTGGAGCTTCTGGGTCAGTTTCAAGGACAGGCCAGTGTAAACCGAGTTACAGTAGACTAGCGGTGACTGTTGCATGGATTACTGTGGCTAGGTCAGGGTGCGACAGGAAGGGGGCCAATTGCCGAGCCTGGTGAAGATGAAAGAACGCCAGTCTAGCTATGTGCGTGACCTGGGCCTCCATCTTCAAGGAGGAGTCCAGAATCACTCCCAAACTCTTGACGGATTGTGCCAGTGTCAGTGGGACCCCGTCAAGAGCGGGCAGCCTATATCCCAGCTCTGAAGTTCCCCTCTTAAGAAAAACAGGGGTAGTCAGGGTTGACCCAAGGCATACTAATACTGGAGGCAAACAGAAGACATTAATTAAGATAGAACACAATTCACTGGGCACTTTTTATGC